TGTGTGAGCTGTAATATTGTTTGTGTTGTGTTAATGTGTGAGCTGTATTATGGTTTGTGCTGTGTCAATGTGTGTGTGAGCTGTAATATTGTTTGTGTTGTGTTAATGTGTGAGCTGTATTATGGTTTGTGCTGTGTTGATGTGTGTGTGGAGCCGTATCTTTGTATGTGTTGTGTTGATGTGTGTGCTCTGTGTTATGCCACAGTGCCAGATGCTGCCCCAGTCGTTTCCGTGGTGACGGTGAACAGCAGTGAGGTGAGGGTGAGCTGGAATGCCCTGCAGGGCCGGATCAACGGAGAGTTGCAGGGATACAGACTGGAGTACAGCAGCCCCAGCACAGAACCGGTGAGAGCCCCTACCTCCCACCTCCCTCTCTCTTCCTTTTGTCTCATCTTTCTAACAGACAGGAACCAGTCTGTAGGCTGATCCCATCACATCACAGAAGGTAACCTAGGCTGGACCTGGTCAGTACAGGGAAAACCAAATTAGTTGTTGTAAGTGGTGCAGGTGGACCTGTAGGTGGTGCCCTACCAGAAATTTCAAAACAACGCCCCAGTATAGTGACAGGAGACAGGTTGAGATTAAGCTGAGGTCCTACGTACTTGGCTCTTGATTTAAGTGCTCTGTGTGTGTATTCTGTGAATGCATACTCTGTATCCTGTGCCCTTTGTTAACTGAGGGAGGCTGTCAAGTTATGGACAGAGCCTATGACCTGGCCTCTAGGTCTTTAAACAGAGGGTGGTTGCAGTATTGAACAAGCTCCCTGGCCATGTTGTTGAAGCTCCCGGCTTCTTTGAGGAGATGACAGGATGAGATCCTTGGAAGGGCTTGATGGGCGCCTCTCATGTGTAACATTTCTGTTCTTATGCTCAGGCTGTCCAGGACGCAGGTCTGTCCACAGAGCTGTCCTTAAACCTGTCCATCCCGCAGTCCAACCTGTCCTTCAGAGTGTGTGCCTACACGGGGGCTGGAGCAGGACCCTGGAGCCCCCCCTACACCCTCACCCTGACACACCCCGGTGAGAGGACAGGGTTAAAATGGAGAGGGCAAGGGAGAGGGTTGGAGGACAGATAGCGGAGTGGGAGCTGAGCACAGCAGAGAGCAGAGGAGCGGCAGATAGAGAATAGGGGACTGAGGGATGGGAGGAAGAGAGGGAGAACACTGAAGAGCTACAGGAAAAAAACTGAATTGAAAAAGGAAACTATCTGATGGTGATAGGATATGGTGATGGTGATATCAGGCTGTTGTACAAAAATGCTAATAATGTCCTTCTCCTTCTCTTTTCAACAGAGCTGTCAGGACTCTCCTCTCGAGGTAAGAACCCAGGTGAAGGTGAATGTCGCCCCACTGAACTGGGAGAAACTTTCTTTTCACAGCCGTTCCTGTGTGTTAGTTCTCGGTGCCTTACAGCTGAGCGAAGGGATGAAAATGACCCTTTTAATCAAAGGGACGTTTGGGACCAGAATTTAAAACCGATTACCACAACTGTTTGAAGTTGTCTCCTTGGGTGTTGTCAGTACTGTAGCAGTACTTATGCACAGGTGTGCGGAGCAGGTGCAGGTGAGAGTTAAAAGTAGGTTTCTGCTTTCAGATTTACCAAAATGTTTTACTGTGATCTCAGAATGGTAGTGCTTCTAGTTCAGCTGAGGTCCAGGCATTAAGTCCTCATGTTCCTGTACTGTTACCTTGAGAAAGAGATAGGCATAAGCTGAAAGTATTGTTATATACAAGTTTTTAGAAGGAACTTTGAACTAAATTTCTTCTAATTATTGAAATATTCCTGGTAACTGATTTGTATTATTCATGTGCAGATCGGCTGCTCATGGCCTGTATCTCTAAGCCTCCAGTTTGACATTCCCAAAGGGGTGTTCTTGCAGACCATAGGAGACCCCATAGAGATTTCTAGCCTTAACCTGCAAGATCCATACCCTGTTAAATCACTGCTCAAGCTCAATTGCTTGGGTCTGGCCACTCGAGCACATGGTGGCTTGTGCAGTCATGCCCCCCTGGTCACATGGGCTGTGCTGCTCCTTAGCAGCCAGCTCTTGCTTCTGGTACTCCCCCCAGATGTCTTCCATTCTCATAGCACCGGGTTTGGTTGGACTCCTCCTGTACTTCTCTGCTGTCGGTTGGAGACTGTTTTCCTTATCCGGGCCCTTCCTCTCCTTTTTGTTGCCAGACTTCTGGCATTGCCTTAGCCACTCCTGAGCAGGCAGTCCTGGTCTTGGCACAGGCTCCTCTAGAAATGGACATTTTGGAGTTCAGCGGGTATGAGCTGCCAGTACACCAGTCCAGGTCCCTCTCAGCTCTCTACAGAAGCTCCACTGCCAGGGTTTCAGGGCCAAGCTCAGTCCACGAAAGGAGCCGCTTCCTGGCCACTCCCGACGCACTGCCACTCAGCCTTTGCTGCAGGGCTGGGCCCCTTCACCCTTGGACATGTTCAGATCCACTTGCATAGATCTGAGCTGCATCAGCATATCTTGTCGGTCAAGGTCACTTTCCCCCACCGGCAGCTCGTTTCAGAACAACAAAAATTCAAACATGTTTAGGGATAAGATGCCTTCTTTCCCCCTGTGCTTCTTGAGAAATAAATTCCTGGGAGCAATCCCTCAAAAGTCTCTAAATACAACAGGCCTGCCTCTCCGCGGGCCTGAGCACTCCCATGGGAAAGGAGCTTTTATACTAGTAGTTTTCTTCACAATATACAATACACAATATACCTATTGCAACTATCACTCTGAATCTCATTACAGTATATACCAAACTCAGGCTAGGTTTGTAAAAGAGTAACTCTCAGTCCTTCACCAATTTTCTAATTATTCACCACATATCACCCTAAATACATAAATACAGTCGGGGGTCCGCTGAAACTACCACACTAATTACTGCTGGGCTGCACAAACTTCTTCTCACTCTAACTAGGCCATATAAACAACAGTCATAGTTTGCAACAGTGGTAGAAAACTCTGGTGGAGGCTTTGAGTAAGTTGTTGTGCTCATAACACACGTGTTGTAACTCCGGACTCTTGTAACTCTGTGTCTAAGGTGTCTAAAGCCCTTCACACAGCAGTGTGTACAACTTGCACACCTGACATGCTGACGTGGTAAATCTTACGGCTGTAAACGGCACCTGTTCTGACACCCCTCCACGAATTTCAAGCAAAATAATGAAACAGTCAGAAGCGAGAAGAGAGCAAAGAGAAAAGAACGGGAAAGAAAGAACCAGGCAGGCCGAACCTGTCTCCGGGGAGTTTGCATGTTTCCCCAAGTTTGCATGTGGCTTTTCACATCTGATGGGCTGCCCTGTGTCCCCTGGCCCTTGCAGAGGGCTCATTCCCCACAAGAAGGGCGGCTGGTCTGCCCCCTGACCTGCGGGGTACAGGGATACACTGAGAGCCCTGCTGGCTCTCGGACCCCGTATGCATCGCAGGCTTGTTTAAAGCACATCGTACAACCTCAGGGCTGTGTGCCAGAGCCCAGAACAGCTTCCATGTGTTTTAAGAGCTGTATGCAATGAGTCAGAGAGAGAGAGAATAGGAGACTTTAGTGTTGCCACCCCGCCCAGTGTGACACACTCGACAAAACACATCTGGACAGCTGAGATCATCGTAATAACATGCACTTTACAGAAGCTGCACAAACTACTCCAAGTCTATCCTTTAACCCTGCACACTTTACAAGCTCTCTTTCGGTGTATTGAGACTTGAGACTACTTTTATTTTCTTTATACTTATCACTCATATTCTATGAAACGGTCTGTCTGTTGTATTTCTATTAAAAAGGTATTGTATTAACTGTTTAACTCTTCATTAACCTTTCTTTGTATTAACCCCTCTAACTCTACAGTAATCTCTCTCTGTTAATGCCTCTCTCTCTACAGTATCTTCTTCCCTTCATTAACCCCTCTCACTCTACAGTAACCTCTCACTCAGAATGAGCTCTTCCTGTTTCTCCTTGTGTCATCCCCCAAGCCCTGCAGTGCCCTCTCAGTCTCACTCTGTAATAAACCCAGTTCAGTGGAATTACACAGGCTCTCGATGAAGTTAACCACTCTTCTGAAGGTAATTAGGAGGCTTATAAATTCAGTTGATAGTGAAAAGGATTCAATCTGCATCTTGACTCCCATAAAAAAGGATAGAAAGGATGAGCCTTAACAAAGAACTCCTGCTAGGAATTGATTAGGCTGGCTGACAGGCCTATAGGACTCACGAGGCTACAGAATCTTGAGGAAGATACAGTGGAGGCTATACTGAGGTGTGTCACAGGCCCAGGATATGGCCCTGGTTCTGAGAGATGCCGATTTGCCAGGTGGAAGACCTGCACAGTCAAGGAGCAAGGTTGAATTGCTGGATTAAAACTGATGGGGAGTTGTTGGCACCTGGGGTAGTTGGCACCTGGAGTGTTTGGCAAAGTAGTGCTGTATCTTGTCGCAGACTAAAGTGTACAGGTCTAAGCTGCACAGCGACTCAACAGAAAGATCGCCCTGTGTCTTAATAGCTGCAGACAGAAGGGCAGTCTTGGAGAATAAGGTGAGAAAAGGTAAACCAGGCCTCTGAGACTGGGATGCTAAAGTTTGTTTTAGACAATCATCATGGGAGAAGGAATGTGAGCAGTCCTGCTGAGAGTGAAGTGAGATGAGGAGGGACACAGGGTGCCTGCTCCAGTGTGGTTCGTGGCTAGATAAATGTTGGGAGCAGGTCAGTAATGAAGTTGTGAGAAAGTTGTATATCTCGCATGAGCTGCCAGAGGCGAGGAGGTACAGTATGTGGTTTGGGTTAGCTGCGAGAGCAGTACATGAACCTCTCTCTCTCCATGCACCATGGGTTTTCGGCTAACCCCTCCTCCCCTTGTGTCTTTCAGACTCCTCCACTGCAGAGTTCTCATGGCACTGGTGGTATGTGGTCATGGCCATCTCGGTGGCGATTGCCCTGGCGATCCTGATCGCCCTCTACGTGGCCCGCCTCCGCCGGAAAGAGACCCGCTTCGGGTGAGGGCTGGATGGGAGTTGCCGTTGGGAACATGCTGGGCATGAACAAGTTTGGACCATGTCTAGCGTGCAGCTGGACGTGTTCTCTCAAGCCCTGGAGCATGTGATGCCTGTAGCATTTGCGTGCTGTTGTGTAGAAACGTGTCCTGT